CCGCTAACGGTGAGTCGTTCTCGGTTCCAACAGCTTCATAGAATTTTGAGATATTCAGCGCCCATGCCGCGACGAGTGAGTGGGCTGCGAATCACAGCACCGTTACAAGAGTTCAATCCAACCGAAACTCGGTGTCCGTAAATCGGTCACAAGACAGTCTAATAAGCAACAGATCCTGACACGGTTAAATACAACTTCTTCGCCAGTAAACAATTTTGGCACGCCCCCGTACAATTCAGGAAAGTTGGCAGTGAAGCGACATAATATAACGCATGTATTACAAAGCGAGCCACAGAGTGAACCACCTGACCCGAAGTTTTTGGGGTCATTTATGAAACACACGTTGTGTGGATGGATTGCGACAGGTAATCTCAATGTTGATCGCGATTTCCATTGAAGTGAACCATGGCATTTCGAGCACGAGGACCGCAGCTGAAGAAGCTAGAAATGGAGGTTGCCCGCACGAAACGCTGCACTCCTATGACGCGTTCCGAGATTATTTCCTTCCATCAGATAGAGATCGCAAGCATTGAACCCAGGACCATTTGGATGTTAGTTGTGACCGCTACGTCTAAGCCACCGGGTTACAACGGACAACGTTTGGCACAACGGTTAATGATGGATTTTGAGAGTCATTTTTGTAATACACGTTGTGCTGCAACTACGGTCCTCGTGGTCGAAAGACCAAGGTTCAGTTCAATGGGAATCGCCGTCAACATTGAGATTGCGTGTCACATTCCATCAACACAAAGTGTACTTCAGAAAACAACCCACAATATCAACGATGATCCGTTGTGCCAAGCGCTGCCCGTCGTAACCCGGTGACTTAGGGGTAGCGGTCACAACATCCAAATGGTCCGGGTTTCATGCCTGCTATCTGATGAGAGGAAACAACTTCGAAACGCGTCATAGGCGTGCAGTGGTTTCGAGCGGGCAACATCCATTTTCTATGTAACGCGAAATTTATTACTAGGTGGCCTATTCAGGCATCGCTAAGCAGTAAATCAATGATACCAAATGGCATATCTGGTTTTAAAGTTGTGCGGCTTATAATCCGCAGCTATCAGCATGATGTTAAAATGAACGTCAGCGATCGTACTTAAAGCCGAAATCAGACCCGGACATGGCGCACAAAAGTCAAAGGCAGTTAGAACTATGCCTGGACTGGGTGCACGAAGGGCTTGTGTACTTTTGTACCACAATGCTTCTGGGCAGCACCAAGATTACTGATGATTTATGCACAGGCAACAACACCAACGAGCCGCGTAAAGCTCCGCACTGTGAGTTTGCCTAAGTCGGCATCGCCAAACGGATTGCATTCAGAGAGCAGTTCTTTGAAATTCAACCAACCAACTGGAATTCACTCATACAGAATCGAGAAACAAACGGTTGCAGAACATCGTATATGAGAGTGCGCAACTAATAGAGACGGGACAAGGTAGGAGCGGCTAGTTCGTTAACTGTGTGTAGCGGACTACAAAGTGTCAGAGTCGCGACATACATCAACACCCAGAGTATGTAATATGCGAAGATTTGGCTGGGTGTACCATTTGCTTCAGAGCACATCGGAGGAATACAGCCAGGTGGAAAGGTGAGGATTTGTAGACGAGGTAGTTTTCCAAGACGGAGGGGGCAGATGGAGAAAATCCAGCGCTACAACAACCGGGCAGTCAGGAAAGTGAATAGTGAGAACCGGAAGGTCGGCAGGAGCAAAAGACGGTAAAGTCAATGATAACATCAAGAAAGTGTATTCACTCACCCATTCTGTCCTATGGAGAAGCTGAGGAGACAAGCGCCGCGGGAGTGGTGGGACGGCGATGTGGGATTGTAGCGTTGTAATCCTGCGGGAATCAAAACGTAGTCCGCATAATGATCGAAATTCCGCCACTCAATGACCCCAGGATTATTAATATTGTATACAAAAGCGAAGCATTACTACACCAGGAAACATTTTGCCGGTTAACTTTCGGTTGCAGTTCGTTCAGCATCTGCCTAAATTTAACTGAGAAAATATCCCGGGCGTAGACATCAGAACAAATGTTGGTGAACAAGGTTGTTTTCAGTGGTTCCTTATCAGGCTAATACACCACAAATGAATGACATGAACGTAAACATCAGATAAGGGTACAGGTACAAAAAAGCAGATGGTCTGCATGACCAAAATAGATGATTGGCCCCAAGGCGATCAAGAGTGCGTGTGTGTGTGGCGTTGTCCCTGCTATGTGCCCGCGTTACAAGGGAAAAGAACAGAGTTAGTGCCTGGACAAATTTCTTGGTCGCAAATAGGTCAAGGTCATAAAGCCTGGTGGCTATTGCGTCGGCCGCTGCCAGTAGACCACATCTAACTGCTCTTGTGTGGCATCTGGTTACGCGGTAAATGGGCTGGAACGCCTCAAACGCCGTGGGGACAATAAACTAGCTGAATCAACCAGACCATCTGGGTTTTGAACCTGTACCCTTATTTGATGTTTATGTTCGTGTCATTCATTTGGGGTGTATTAGCCTGATAAGGACCCAATGAAAACAAACTTCGCCAACCTTTGTTTGATGTCTACTCCAGGGATATTTGATCGAATGAAATAGACCAAGGAACTTACTGTGCTTAAACGCCTTAAGAAGTACGCTAAGGTCCGCACAAAACTTGCGGTAGCGAATGCGACGGTCCAGTTCTTTGATGAGTGTACTTTGTTTTAAATATCCGAAACATTTTTGGAAAATCATCATCATCATCAACAGCAGCACATCAGCCATTTGAACTGATGCTTCGCTGCCATACAACCATGACCTACGAAATAAAAAAGAATAAGAGGGAGAGAAGGGGGACATGCCAAAAAACCTTTGTGCCCTAAACAAACATTCATGGTCAAGGCGTTTACACCTTGTGTAGACGACATATCGTCACAAACAGCTAGCTATCGCGCAAAGATAAGGCGCCCTCGGCGAGACAGCTTCCTTGCGGCTTTCATTGCCACAGCGTCATAATCAGCCATTACCCCGCACATAACTCAGCACCAAACACACTTTAAACAGACAATCCGATTAGGAGACGGCAGCAGACGCGCCACTGGTGTCGGTTGCGAGCCATGTCCTGTAAAGTCTCGAGCCAAACACAAGGCGAGTCCCTTGGACTCCAACCCGGAAGGCGAGACGGACCAACGGCACCCAGTTTGGTCGTCAGTGACTTCATTTCCCGCTGCCAAGTCAACTTCTGTCCACCTCGAGCCTTGCGCCATCCTACACCTGGCAGACTAAACAAGGCCATCCTAGGTAAGCGGTGACCAGGCATACGTAGAACGTGCCCGAGCCAACGCAAATTATTTAGTGCTATCTGTTGTTCTAGGGAGCTAGCATGATTATCACCTCCTAGTACTCGCCTACGCACATCAACGTTGCGGACACGCTGGTGCCATCCGACTCCAGCAATGCTTCGCAGACAACGATGATCAAAGACTTGAAGGCGCCTCAGATATTCAAACCGAAGGGGTCAAGTTTCACTACCACAGAGCAGAACGGCCCTCACTGTGGCCTTGTATACACGGCCTTTCAGACGGAGGGAAACTCCCTTCTGTCGCCAAAGATGACGCAGGTTCAAGAAGGTAGCTCTGGCTTTTGCAATACGTGAGCTCACGTCAGTTTCTATGCGCCCATCGCTGTCAATGCAGCTGCCAAGATAAGTGAATTGATCAACCACCTCGAGTTCCTCGTTAGCAAGAGTCAAGTGGTCATCAAGTGGCTGGTGGTCCTGCAGCAACACTTTGCACTTCGAAGGTGTAAAATGCATACGAAATAATGGGACCACTCTGGACAGGCTATTCAGGATTGATTGTGCGGTCGCAACATGATTGAAAAACAAGACGATATCGTCCGCATAACCTAGGTCAACTACCCTGTCACCGAGTAGGACCTCAACACGTACATCGTGAGATTACGCAAGGGAACACTCCATTATTGAGTCCACGACGAAATTGAACAAAAACGGGGAAATCGGACAACCCTGACGAACGCCACTTGTGGTCAGAAAGCTATTCGATAGGAAACCGTAGACCCTGACGCGGCCTGTAGTGTTCGAGCATAGAGCACGAAGGATGTTCACATATTTCGTGGGAACACCTTTTCGCGCAAGTAATTCGAACAGAATCGATCGATCGACTGAATCGAACGCACTCTTGAAACCGAGGAACTCAGCTATTGTCGGTCTGCGGTATGCGTAGCGCTGCTCTAGCATCTGCCGCAGAGTGAATATATGGTCTATACAGCCAAATCCTGGACGGAAGCCGGCCTACTCTTCCCTAATCCGAGATTCCCGTTCCGCAGTGACACGACGAACGATAATCGAGGCCAATAATTTTGTCACAACTGGCGTTAGGCTAATAACCCTGTGGTTAGAACAGTCTGTGCGACTGCCCTTCTTGCGCATTGCCACTATAATCGTTTCGCTCCAAGATACGTTCGAATAGGGAGGTCAGTGCCCTGCAGAGGACCTCACCTCCATCCTTAAATAGTGCAGGTGGGAGAGAATCCGGGCCAGCGGCACGAAAACGATTGAGGGCTGTGATCGCGTTTCGGACCTCGGCCTCCGACGAAGGCTCTAAACTAACCGTTAATAGCTCCTCCTTCATCACCTGAGCAGGAAGAGGTCCTGGAGCAGGAGGCCAGCTGAACTGATCTTGAAAGTGTTCAGCCCAACGAGCCATATGGCGCTCCTTATTGTGTATCAGCGCACCCGCGCTGTCTCTGATTGTCTCACTGACGCCTGGTTCTCTAAGACCAGTGGTGCGGATTAGCTGGAACAGCTTGCGGTAATTGCCTACTGCTCCTGCCTCCTCCATTTCTTGAGCCCGACTGGTCCACCAGGCTTCCTTGTCAGCACGTAGGCTCCGCTTTAGTTCACGCCTAATAGCCCGTCTGGTCACATTGTGTTAAGAGCCAGCCGGGAGGTGTCTTCTAGCTTCCAACAGGTTCACCGATCTCTCGGATATCCAGTTACTGGTGCAGTGACGATGGATAGTGCCACAAACAGATGCTCCTGCGTCGTGCATGGCGGCCGAAATCCTATTCCACTGAAGTTCAGTGTCATTAGGACAAGACAGCGGAAGTTCGCTATGCAGTGCGTCTTAATCGGCTTGCCTGACCGAGGGCTGAGACAATTTCTCAGTTGCAAATTGGAGGAGACGCTTGGTGCACCTTCCGCTAAAGTTCATGGAGAAACAACAGCGCACCAAGGCATGACCAGAGTCGACACAGGTACTCCAGTACGACCGGCAATCCAGAATGGAACCACGCCACCTGTAACTTTTGGCTATGTGGTCAATTTGGGTCCATCGCTGGCCAGCTACAGGTGGACGCCAAGTGGCACTTCGGCGCCCACTGTGTCTAAAACCAGTGCTAGTAAGAAACAACTGGTGCTCCGCACACAGTTGCAGCAGACGCTCACCGTTGTCAGTCCGTTCGGAGTTAAGTCCATAATTACCACCCAGCTGAGCTTCTGAAGAGCTCAGACGCCCTACTTGTCTGTTCATATCCCCTGCAAGTACTATAATATCTGAACTAGTAGCACTGCGTAGTAGGGCGTTCAGTTCGTGATAGAATGTGTCCTTGACAGCATTTGAACTGCAGTCGGTGGGAGCGTAAACGGAAATCACAAACAAACAGCGTTTTGTATTACTACGTGAATCCATCTTATCAGATGTCGTCAAACGGGCTGCACATAAACGGCTGTTCACCGGAATCCAATCAACCAACGATGGCTCAGCCTTGGAGCTGAGAATGATACCTACACCAGCTTGACCCGTGAGTGCTGCCTCGGCGTCTCCGGATGCGGGCAACCAATAACGAGAGGATAAGCTGGGTGCAGTCAATTCAATAACCCCGTTAGGGTCATTGATCCTAGTTTCGGACACACAACACACATCAACACCCAGTGTGTCCAAGGTGCGTGCGAGTTCAGCCTGTTGACCTGTTTGTCTTAGAGTGCGAACGTTGAACGTCGCCATGGAAACGGGATAGCGTGGCTTTATAAGGGACTTTTGCCGGTAGGTGTTGTGGGATGGTGGCTACAGATGGTTCTAATCCAGTGGCACTTCGGTTGCTATCAATCAAGCTGGGAAGTATAGAAGGGAGGTTGGTAATGGGGATCAGGATGGGAATAAGGGAAACGTGTGAAAAAGAAGGGAGGCGCCAGCATTAGCGTGTTCGCTTATCCGCCCTTGATAATCTGCGCGACGGCCGATGTAGGATGAAGTTCATGTTTGAAGAAAACGTCTTTTGGAAAATACTCAGACGGAATAGGATTAATCCTACTAATACTGCACTGAAGCGTTAAACATTAAACGAACGTGACAGTTGCCTCTAGACTTGATGATTTGGAGCGTAATCAGTGCATTTACTCTCATACTGAAGCATCTGGATGCGGAGGAACTCACGCGATTCGAAGCACCTGTTCAACGTGTGGTCACAAAGCAAATTGACTGACGACTAATCTCAATGCGTCAGCAGATTGGCACGACAAAGGAAAATACCCTGTTCCCATCTGACCCGGAAAGGTGTGTCCACAATTTTTCCTCTGTACATCTTAGATAAAACACTATTTGAGACACTTTCACTCGGTCCGAAATTTTATTGTCCTCGTAATAACACCAGTCAGCTAGAACTAGAAGTCCAGTTTGAAAATGCACATTCCCAAGTATCTAGGCTTACACCTTCGTCAGTGTTAGCTGCTAAGCATTTTATATCCACCATGGTCAATACATGCTAGCAGTACCTGACGCACAAACCTAAAGTCAGGTATTTATTGACGGACGCGCACTTAGACACCGTCAAAGCGCTTTGACGGAACGAGAATGTGTTACCCTCTAGGCCAGATAAAGGAGCAGGGACTGTACATATGGATAAATCTGATTATATCGCTAGGATGAATGCCATTCTCGACGATTATTCAAAATTCCGGATGATGGAGAGACAAAAGGGCTTCGATAGAAAAGATAGTCACGAAAATACTACGCTGCAAGAGAAGGTGATTCAGTGGTGTTCGAATACACGCATCTCTCCGGGACAGTGATTCCACGCCTTTATGGCTTACCGAAAGTGCAATCTTAGACGTGTGATTCTGCATAACACACAACAGCGTAATGGCTCGCTAACCTTCTAGAATCGATCAGAAAAGTCATATCCAAACACAGTCTCAGAGATACATTCAGCTTCCTATACTCCATAAGCCCTATGCAGTAAACCGGAAGGGAAATGCTTTCTCTAGAATGAAGTGCCGCTCTTCACCAATGTTCCACTGGTCGAGACAATACCTATGCTATGCTGTTAGATTGCCCCATGTGAATGTCGGCATCTCAAATGAGCGATAAACAGTTGGTTCTTATGAGCACCAGAAACGTACAATTCCTGTTCGACGGGAAGATCTACGGAGAGAACGGAGTTGCAATGGGCTCTCCGTTAGGAACCCTGAGAGCAGACGAATTTATAAGTTAGAATAAAACTATCTGAACGGAGTTCGCAACAAATTAGTCTACTAAGGAGGGTACCTGGACGATATTTTCTGCATCTCAGATAGCCATTTTTGCACGGAAGAATTAGTGAGGCAATTTAACTCAGCCCACGCAAACATAAACTCACCCATGAAGCTGAGTCATCATCATCATCAACAGCAGCACATCAGCCATTTGAACTGATGCTTCGCTGCCATACAACTATGACCTACGAAATAAAAAAGAATAAGAGGGAGAGAAGGGGGACTTAACTGAAAATATTAATGTCCTAAACAAACATTCATGGTCAAGGCGTTTACACCTTGTGTAGACGACATATCGTCACAAACAGCTGGCTATCGCGCAAAGATAAGGCGGCATCGGCGAGACAGCTTCCTTGCGGCTTTCATTGCCACACGTCATAATCAGCCATTACCCCGCACATAACTCAGCACCAAACACACTTTAAACAGACAATCCGATTAGGAGACGGCAGCAGACGCGCCACTGGTGTCGGTTGCGAGCCATGTCCTGTAAAGTCTCGAGCCAAACACAAGGCGAGTCCCTTGGACTCCAACCCGGAAGGCGAGACGGACCAACGGCACCCAGTTTGGTCGTCAGTGACTTCATTTCCCGCTGCCAAGTCAACTTCTGTCCACCTCGAGCCTTGCGCCATCCTACACCTGGCAGACTAAACAAGGCCATCCTAGGTAAGCGGTGACCAGGCATACGTAGAACGTGCCCGAGCCAACGCAAATTATTTAGTGCTATCTGTTGTTCTAGGGAGCTAGCATGATTATCACCTCCTAGTACTCGCCTACGCACATCAACGTTGCGGACACTCTGGTGCCATCCGACTCCAGCAATGCTTCGCAGACAACGATGATCAAAGACTTGAAGGCGCCTCAGATATTCAAACCGAAGGGGTCAAGTTTCACTACCACAGAGCAGAACGGCCCTCACTGTGGCCTTGTATACACGGCCTTTCAGACGGAGGGAAACTCCCTTCTGTCGCCAAAGATGACGCAGGTTCAAGAAGGTAGCTCTGGCTTTTGCAATACGTGAGCTCACGTCAGTTTCTATGCGCCCATCGCTGTCAATGCAGCTGCCAAGATAAGTGAATTGATCAACCACCTCGAGTTCCTCGTTAGCAAGAGTCAAGTGGTCATCAAGTGGCTGGTGGTCCTGCAGCAACACTTTGCACTTCGAAGGTGTAAAATGCATACGAAATAATGGGACCACTCTGGACAGGCTATTCAGGGTTGATTGTGCGGTCGCAACATGATTGAAAAACAAGACGATATCGTCCGCATAACCTAGGTCAACTACCCTGTCACCGAGTAGGACCTCAACACGTACATCGTGAGATTACGCAAGGGAACACTCCATTATTGAGTCCACGACGAAATTGAACAAAAACGGGGAAATCGGACAACCCTGATGAACGCCACTTGTGGTCAGAAAGCTATTCGATAGGAAACCGTAGACCCTGGCGCGGCCTGTAGTGTTCGAGCATAGAGCACGAAGGATGTTCACATATTTCGTGGGAACACCTTTTCGCGCAAGTAATTCGAACAGAATCGATCGATCGACTGAATCGAACGCACTCTTGAAACCGAGGAACTCAGCTATTGTCGGTCTGCGGTATGCGTAGCGCTGCTCTAGCATCTGCCGCAGAGTGAATATATGGTCTATACAGCCAAATCATGGACGGAAGCCGGCCTACTCTTCCCCAATCTAAGATTTCCGTTCCGCAGTGAGGCGACGAACAATAATCGAGGCCAATAATTTTGTCACAACTGGCGTTAGGCTAATAACCCTGTGGTTAGAACAGTCTGTGCGACTGCCCTTCTTGCGTATTGCCACTATAATCGTTTCGCTCCAAGATACGTTCGAATAGGGAGGTCAGTGCCCTGCAGAGGACCTCACCTCCATCCTTAAATAGTGCAGGTGGGAGGGAATCCGGGCCAGCGGCACGAAAACGATTGAGGGCTGTGATCGCGTTTCGGACCTCGGCCTCCGACGAAGGCTCTAAACTAACCGTTAATAGCTCCTCCTGCATCACCTGAGTAAGAAGAGGTCCTGGAGCAGGAGGCCAGCTGAACTGATCTTGAAAGTGTTCAGCCCAACGAGCCATATGGCGCTCCTTATTGTGTATCAGCGCACCCGCGCTGTCTCTGATTGTCTCACTGACGCCTGGTTCTCTAAGACCAGTGGTGCGGATTAGCTGGAACAGCTTGCGGTAATTGCCTACTGCTCCTGCCTCCTCCATTTCTTGAGCCCGACTGGTCCACCAGGCTTCCTTGTCAGCACGTAGGCTCCGCTTTAGTTCACGCCTAATAGCCCGTCTGGTCACATTGTGTTCAGAGCCAGCCGGGAGGTGTCTTCTAGCTTCCAACAGGTTCACCGACCTCTCGGATATCCAGTGACTGGTGCGGTGACGATGGATAGTGCCACAAACAGATGCTCCTGCGTCGTGCATGGCGGCCGAGATCCTATTCCACTGAAGTTCAGTGTCATTAGGACAAGACAGCGAGAGTTCGCTATGCAGTGCTTCTTGATAGGCTTGCCTTACCGAGGACTGAGACAATTTCTCTGTTACCAATAGTAGGGGACGCTTGGTGCACCTTCCGCTAAAGTTCATGGAGAAACGACAGCGCACCAAGGCATGATCAGAGTCGACACAGGTACTCCAGTACGACCGGCAATCCAGAATGGAACCACGCCACCTGTAACTTTGGGCTATGTGGTCAATTTGGGTCCATCGCTGGCCAGCTACAGGTGGACGCCAAGTGGCACTTCGGCGCCGACTGTGTCTAAAAGCAGTGCTAGTAAGAAACAACTGGTGCTCCGCACACAGTTGCAGCAGACGCTCGCCGTTGTCAGTCCGTTCGGAGTTAAGCCCATAATTACCACCCAGCTGAGCTTCTGAAGAGCTCAGACGCCCTACTTGTCTGTTCATATCCCCTGCAAGTACTATAATATCTGAACTAGTAGCACTGCGTAGTAGGGCGCTCAGTTCGTGATAGAAAGTGTCCTTGACTGCATTAGAACTGCAGTCGGTGGGAGCGTAAACGGAAATCACAAACAAACAGCGTTTTGTTTTACTTCGCGAATTCATCTTAGCTGATGTCGTCAAACGGGCTGCACATAAACGGCTGTTCACCGGAATCCAATCAACCAACGAAGACTCAGCCTTAGAGCTGAGAATGATACCTACACCAGCTTGACCCGTGAGTGCCGCATCGGGGTCTCCGGATACGTGCAACCAATAACGAGAGGATAAGCCGGGTGCAGTCAATTCAATAACCCCGTTAGGGTCATTAATCCTAGTTTCGGACACACAACACACATCAACACCCAGTGTGTCTAAGGTGCGTGCGAGTGCAGCCTGCTGACCTGTTTGTCTTAGAGTGCGGACGTTGAATGTCGCCATGGAAACGGTTCAGGGTGGCCTTATAAGAGACTTTTGCCGATAGGCGTCCGATAGATGCTGTGGGATGGTATCTGCAGTAGCACTCCAGTAGCACTTCGGTTGCTGTCAATTAAGCTGGGAATTATAGAAGGAAGGTTAGTAATGGGGGCCGGGATGGGAGTAAGAGAAAAAGGTGGAAAAGAAAGAAGGGAGGCGCCAGCAGTAGCATGTTTTCGCTTATCCGCCCTGCTGTATGCAGCAGATAAGGCGACCCTTGATAATCTGCGCGACGGCCGATGCAGGATGAAGTTTGTTTGAAGAAAATGTCATGGTTGTATGTGAGCTGGGATACTGCCAGGGCGCCCAGACCTTGACAGGAGGACGATTAGGGTCCTCATCCAAAGCCTTTGGCTCAAAAGCCTATCCGCAAGGCAGCGGGGTGGCAGTGATTTAGTTTTACAGAAATGGACGCCATCCCATTTCAAACCCCCAACCTGGAGGACCAGGAGACTGAGTTTGTCTGACCTCTCACCATTGACCAACCTGGTAGGAGTAGCTCTCAAAATGCTCGGAGGCATCACCCAGTATAGCTCAATGGGTCAATGAGGTACGCAAACAGTCGCACCACGTTAAGGTCCAGTCTCGTTGCGACGGCATGAATCTGAGTGCAACAACTCAAGGTCGTACGTAGACGTTCAGATTAGCCGGAGATCTGACGGGCATATCCAGCGCAGTGTCCATAGAAAGAAAACGTGGGACGGGCAATATACCCATTTTGTCAGCTTTGTTCCGCCCAGCCAGAAACGAAAACGTGCTCCGTGCCTAACCGAGCGAGCAAGAGGCATATATAGCGAGGACATGCTACCGGACGGGCCAAACTTTGTACGAAGCTGTTAAGATTGAGAGACGCCTGATAAGATTGTCACTGGCCCGGTTGGAGCACGTCTACGGTAACGACTTGGAACGCTGGCCAATCGAACGGATTTGCGCTGACCTGATGGCGTTAGCTAGCCCGGGGGACGCGCTGGTGAGACGGAAAATTGAGCGAGCGTGAGAACGTTCCTAGCCACACGTATTCGGGTAGACGCTGAGCCCTCGAAACGGACGACGCTACGCACACGAGGGGTTACGGTAGACGCGCGCTAATGGCTTAGACGCAAACGTTGCCCGGCCATCGACGCACACAAAATCACGTGACCCGACCGACTCCCAACTAACGGCGAAGAGAAAGGCAAGTGGTCCTCTGAAGGCTCTTTTACGACCAACAAATGGCAAATCACAGCCAATGCTATGGGTCATTCAGTTAGAGAAAGTAGCTACCACGACGGGGTGGTAGTTTGTAAAAGAACATTGTCAACAGGTGCGCAACTGTGCCACGTCTCAGAGTGGCTGAAAACACCTACGTTGTGGAAAGGAGTTGGCCCGCGTTTTCCACAGTCAGTATGCCGGAGTCTGTAGTGCGTTTTCGCGGGGATATTTGAAAGGCCCGCAACAGAAGTCTATTCGATAGAAATGGCTATCCGGAGAGGTTCGTTCGGAGAAACATGTAGGTACGAGGAGCGAAAGTAAGTGGTTACAGTAGGAAAAAAACCGATCTACTTATCGTTACCATTCAAGGGGGATGGGATAGCTGAATCGAGGCTTAAAAGGCTCTCTGACACCATCGCTCAAACGGAGTATGCAGCCAGCCTACGGCTAAGCTTCTACTCAGTGCCGACTATGAATCAACAACTTAAGGACAAGATTCCAAGGTCAAATACTTCTTTTTGTGTATACTCTTTCTCGCGTCGATCAAGATATATTGGAAGAACTACCAAGAGACTGTTTGAGAGCCAGGGAACACCATTCAGCTTCGCTATATAGCGGCGTGATTAGGTCAGTCGCAAGTGCAGTGTCCGCACACTGCGATTCGAACCACCAGATCAGAGAGCATGAGGCGTTCCAACCCATCTACCGCGTAACCAGATGCCACACAAGAGCAGTTAGATGTCGTCTACTGACAGCGGCCGAGGCAATAGCCATCAGGCTTCATGACCCCGACCTATGTGCACGCAAGAAAGTTGCCCAGGCACTAACTCTGTCCTCTTCCCCTGTAACGCAGACACATAGTGAGGACAACGCCACACATACACACTTGATCGCCGTGGGGCCAATCACCTAGCTTGGTCATTCAGACCATCTGCTTTTTGAACCTGTACCCTTATCTGATGTTTATGTTCATGTCATTCATTTGTGGTGTATTAGCCTGATGAGGAACCACTGAAAACAAACTTGTTCGCCAACATTTGTTCTGATGCTTAAATTCAATAACCCGTTGTGATCGACCCAACCCACACTTAACCTGCTTGGTGACACAGTGATCTAGGTTAAAAATGGGCCCCGTCATCCGATTCCTGTAATTAAGTCGAGCCGCATTGCGTTGAAGACGCTCCACTGGTTACCTGTTCACCAGTCCCGCATAGGTTCCTTTCACTAAAACTACGTTATCATCGCAATGGGGAGACTCGCAATCTACGGCACCCGAAATTAGACACTGAACTCAAAATCTGAAGTGTAAAGCATCAGGAGTTTGGTTGGCATTCAGAAGATTGATCAGCTCCAGTACGAGTGTCACCGCAGCGTCAACCTAAAAGTCCGCAAAACTATGACTGTCGCAGACCTATCGGGTGGTAGTCCTAGGGGCACTCAAATTCAAAGACAGCATAGCTCAGGAGATGGAGGGGGAAAATGTAAATATCACACCACGCTAAGAACGGATAGTTTATATTGATTGGGGGCAATGAGGTATTCACACAATGTCCTGATCATAACAAACACACAATGTGCTGCACCCGAAATTTTGCCAGGTGCCTCCACCTGGTCAATGCACCAGTTTGCGGTGCCATACATTAAAACATTGATAATGCGATTTAATCGTACCTGCATATCGTCACAGAACCATATCTACTTCTGAGTATTAACAATTGTGCAATGTTTAGATTACAATAATAAAACAAGCGATGACAAGTAATCATACAAGGTTCAGAGTCGTCCGAATAGGCCGACACCCTCTCATCGCCTTGTACACATCTGACATGCGGTTGCCCAGCCAGTGGTATCATAACTCTGAGACATTGTCTGGGTAATGGGTGTGTTTATGTAAGGTGTCTAGCTGACTTAGAAACACTCTCAACTCACATTCGCATCACTCCAAATCTTATCTTCTCTGGTTTACACTGCAGATGTGGTGGGTGGATGATGCGGTGCTATATATACACGATATATCGGCAGGAGCTGGTGTACCGATGGGAAGGTTGCGGCACAGAGTAGAATATAATAAATTATTAAGAATAAAATTTGGAGTTCTATTCGCATAAGATGGAAAAAAGCCAGTTCAAAAAGTACAGGATCAGCCTGTATGTGTCCGACAAGTAGACAGTCAGGGCCCAAAATTGTCGCTTCGTGAGGGAGCTCATTAAATGGCAATTGGTATGCGAATAGGCTTGTACAGTAGTGTGACAAGAAATGATGGAACCAGAGGTCCAAGAACACTGCAAGCACTGAGACATTAGGATGACAACCAGATGACTAGCTGGCGGTTTTGAACTAAAGGTAACTTGGTTCAGAAATCACAAGAACTCAGCAAACCGAATCTTCACTAGACAAAATAACATTCAGAAGTGGAAAGAATGAGCAGACGAATGCACTGACAGGCTGACAATCAAATTAGTCCAACACAATTGTTTCAGAATCGGGAGGAGGTTGATTAACACCGGGGAGGAAAACAGATGAGCGATCTAGTAACACAGAATCGAGTAGGGAATGCCGTGGCCGGTCCAGCCGAGGTGCGGGAACCAATCTTCCACGAGACGGTCTGGATTGATTACGGGTTGATGGTATGAAATGTACGTGCGGAGGAATATCAACAGGTGCGAAACATGGAGCGGCGACGACCTGCTGGTAGAACAGGTTGGAAGTAGCAGTCTGAGTAGAGCTCATAAAAGTGTGGCTACCATTGGGACCGAACTGTCTCGTGACGGTGAATGTCCGACTGGAATGTCGAGTCTCTTGGAGGAGAGGCATAGCCGAACACGGCTGTAACGGGGGTATAAGCTGAGAGGAAGCAGAGGCAAAGCTATAGCCTGCAGAAAGTCTAGGAGCAGCGGAATCGGTAGATACTGGATTTGAAGTGTGTACTAAAGAATCAGTGTCATCAGCAATTAGATTAATGACAGGAGAATGCGGATGGTTGGGAGATCTGGGCATCGTTGTGACAACAGACGTCGACGGAACAAAACACGGAGAAGCAGGCTGTTGTGATCTATCTGGAGATGCCGGCTCGCTAATATGGCAGTCATACTCAGAGTCAGAGCTCAACGTTAAAACTTCACTGGGCAATTCCGCGGGTGCCTCATCATCCGAAGAACTCGATAAACAGTTGACATTATGCTCTGTCTGTACGCCCTTGGCGTCCAAAGCAGTACTGGATAGACGTGAACTGAGGTTGGGTTCTTCAGGTTCACTGCTTTCAACATTTTGATCATCCACATGTGAGCCTGATTCGTTTTGAACCCGCACAAATTTATCGAACACCTGAGTAGCGCACAAAAAATATAAAAAAATGAGAAAGTAGACCAACAGGAAAGGGGGCCCAAGACTGTATATAACAGGGAAAAATAGGTAACAACGAGTCTCGACCTGTGAATATAGCCCAAGAACGGTGAAACGCCAATTCAATTAAACTGTGAGCAGCAGAAGACAGGAAGACCCCACCAAGTACATTACGATTTGGTCATAAATGAATAACGTTTATGATCTAATTCTGTGGGACACATGCGCATCGTAATGAAGAAGGACATCGGGGAAGTGGTAAGGAATTCTAAACATTCGTGTCTGCTGGAAACCAGCAAAATAAGACTCGCAATAAGGATTTTTAAGGTGGTGTGGCACTGTCAAACGCCGTCCAAAGCCTGGAATCTGCCCGAAGCATTATTTCCGAATATTATGTTCCTAGATAGCTATGGATCAGCGGTTAGATTAAGAAATCACGATGTGCATACGTTAGGTAGAGTTTGAAAACAATGCTTCCAAATTAAACTTCGACTATGACTGCGAACAGCTGCAGGACGCCAGCGACCACAAAGCAAAAACTGGTGACCAGCGATAAACTATCAACGCGTCCCCATATCCAATGAAAACCTGAAGAAATTGGACCGAGATACAAGTGGATGGTTACCACGGTTAACTCACAACCGACCCATACTCCTAGCATGCGTACAAGGAGTGTATAGCATTGAAGAACACATGCATCAGAGGCACACGGGAAGCGAACTGGACCCGTGAACTGCTGTATAATGGAACAACTCTTTAGACCATCCATTGTCATAAGGCGGTGGCCCCATCTCTTGTGAAGCAACTAACAGACTCATGGAGCCGACTGTGGAGGTGGAGGCTTCAGACGACCGGGCCTATTAAGATAAACCGAATCTGGAGTTGAACAAAATAGCTAGACAATAAAGTGAAGGACTGAAATCTTGAGGCTACTATATCACAAAGCTACCTCGTGTTAAGGATAAGAACGAGTGTTTCTTCAAGAAGCATAATTGTAGTGACCTATAAGTTGCAGCTTCTCCTGAAGTGCACCGCAACCAAAAGAGAACAGAGCAAGTAAGTCAGAATAAGCCGGTAGTAATAGCTACCTTTGGATGAGACCCAGTGGCTATGAAAGTGTCACTAAGTAGACGGAGGAGTAGCGCGAGACGTCTGCCCATTTCTAGCTATCATCAAAAAGCCATTAGACGCGGTCGAATAGCTTACTTAACATGTTAGCCTTGTCACTCTTAGTGGGTATATTATTAGGTTAGTTGACATACCAACAAATCCAGTGTGCCTTTTTAGAAGCTTAATCGTCTATAGAGACGGTGGGATATCAGCTTTTCAACCAAAGGCAGGGTGTTAAACGCTGCAGTAAGAGCGCTGTTGACGTGTGGATTCGAAACATGACCACCTCTTATGTATGAAATGAAGAGACTGGCTGGATTTGGCCGTCGGCAATTGCGGATTGTTTTTCACATTGGATGAGGGTGATGGGTGGACAATGCTGAAGTCCGTCAGCCGATGCTTGAAAATATGCCCTCTGGTACAGCATTGGAGCTTACTAAACAGGGACCGCTTAAGTTGTGGTCCGTACGATGGTTGGCCGCCTTCTACAGCGTGCAGTACATGCTGGTAGTCAACCGAACTGGGCGAAATCGCGAAGTGGATACCGAAGATTTGGAATATATATATATATATATATATATATATATATCATGGACCGACCGGCAACTTGCTCAAAGGGTGCCTGAGAAGTTCCCAAAGTGGTTGTGGCAATCCATAGCACAACATGGGGAATGGATCAAATGGAGAGACGGAACCCCACTTTGTATATCACAAAGCATCAAGTGATGACGTGCTATCACGTGGATCTATCGAAGGCCTACAAAGTGTTATGGATAAACCGAGACTAGAAAATGCTGACACCCAGTGAGGCATTACTGATTATGTTAAACCGGCGGGTACTGTGCGCGCAAAAACAACTGAGGCAATCTATCAGATTGCCTTGGTCTTGATCGTCCAACTTTAAGTTACCCGTGTACTTTGGTTCCACTTGTGCATACGTTAATTTAATACCCGAACATATTGCGTATGCGGCGGAGAAAAGCTAACGAAATGTTGGCATATTGCAACATCTGTCTTCTGCGTTGACTCAGCGAGTACAGGAGACACAGTGTTTCAAATTAAATCCACAGCAGACAACCATTCTCAGAACTGACATGTCTTCCGAGCGAAAAGGTCGGGTCTCAAAACCATACGGAAGGAGTCAATGTGAATACTGTCCTTGAAATCGGGACGATACCATAGGTGTCATAGTCTGGTGAAACCATGGCGGACATTTGTGATGCACTTTGAGACTTCTCGAACCCCGCGCCCTAGCCGTGTTGCGACTCAGTAGCTATCTAAGGCAACCGACTTGTTCTAGAACGTCCCCAGAAAAGGTGAGCATAGGCACAAGCACCTGTCAATTCTGGAGTAGTGTTTTAAGTGTCCAGGATGAAGTGTGGATCGTGCTTGGACATTTCAGTCGCTAGGCGATTCATAGTGGTTCCGATGGCATGTGAATCTTTCCCGGATCACAGTGAAGTTACCTCAGAATGATTACAAACATGTCGCGTACATCTTCTCCTAGCAAACAATTTCTCAAAGCATACCTATCTACTGATTCAAGTGCCGTCTGGATATCCAAGAACACTATGATTAATGGTGATCGATGGATGGACCTGATTCCCAGAATTTGACGGAACGTAAAGATTGGGTCGATGTAATTTCAACTTAGACAAAAACCGACTTGTTCCTCTCTGGGAGAACCCCCTAGTTGTTGAATCCATGCGAAGTAAGACAAACACAAAAGTCTTGGACGTTGCAGAGACAAAGGAGGTTCCGCGGGAATTCTTGCAATATTCGCTAAATCCTTTCTTGGGGATCGAGACAACTGACCCTCCCCATGAGTCTGGACCCTTTCCGCCAGTCCAAACCTTAGTGTACAGCGACAGGATTTCGTTGACAGGTACATTCACGCCAACCGTTGGGAGTCTGTCAGGGCGTCAGAAGTACGCCGGTATGCAGTATCGACGCTTCGCTGCCGCACAAACACAACCAGTCGCACATAGGCTAAGGATACTGAGAGGGTCGCCTGGTCCTTACACAGGCGCGAACCTGCGCCCACGGATTACAAGGCAGGCATTAGATCTTTAAAGCTACGGGAGTCTGTCATGGCCGAAAACTTTGTTACATTTGAAAGACTGGATTGCGTTGCGGACCCATGCCTCGTTAGAAGGATCTACTGAGACAAGTCAATCACTATCCGATGGAAATGAAGGTGCCATAGAAGCTTCGGTGGGCAATTGAACTGGAGAGCAAACTGCTCTGTGCAGCGATCCAAGTGCCTGCGCGAATTTATGATATTCGTGCCGCCTAAGTCACAGAAGGTCGGATTGTGTGAATTGCCTTAATAAAGCTCAACTAATTGCAACGGCATCCAACCGATGCAGCGGCTTCCATCTCAATACCTCATTAGGACCACCAGGATTCACGGATCAGAGCAAAGACCTGCTTTCAGCTGTTGGAAACTAGACGAACGGAGTTCATTGTGATCCGTACCAGTGAGCAAAGCCCAACGACAATTTATCAGATCCAAGGATGTTGTCGAGATGCAGCAATTGTCTGTATAATAGGAGAGGCAGCAGCTAGATACACCTGCGAACAGCATGGCTAGGCATCATCGGGAGGATGGGAAAGAGCAAGGTCTTCCTGAAGCCTCTGTTCACACTCCATTTGCATCGTCACACCTTGCTGTTTCTATCCCATCCTGACTTAGTCTACCCCCACTCTCTTAGTTCCCTTGTCTCCGCATTTTGTACGTGTTCTCCCTCGTTTTACACATCATCACTGGTCATTGTAATCATGGATTCATCGCGCTTCGTTGCCTAGGCTATGGCTATCTAAATGAGTTGTGCAGAGCTGAGGCGGGAAGCTGCGCTGCGTAAATGGACTGAAGTGTCAGTGATTTGTGGCATGCTAGATAGTCCGTTCTAATGAAAGATGATCATTGAGAACTATGACTCAAAGGAGGCTTACCGAATTCAGATTCGACTCAGCTATCTGTTTGTTTTGAGCCAACTGTACCCGTAGGGCTGGGTCGAAGTACGTCGGATCATCCTCTTCACTGAAATGAAAAGAACGATCTATATGAGCTGGTAAACGCCGAAACGGTAAACCTTAAGACGACGTAAGTGAGAGAGGTATGGTGACAGCGGGGATATATTGACAAAGACGATATAGACAGAAGAACAAACAGTAGAAAGCATTTACCGCAAATCATCTGTCAGGTGGCATCCGAAATCATGCCGAAGATCATCCTGGCGCCGACGTTTGAGCAAATGACCCACGTCTATGAAGAGTTCGCGGGCGAGGGTGCTTAAAGCAGAAGAGCTAAAACAAAAGGAAACGAGTGGAAATTAGTCCGTCAGATCGCAATGCAGAACAGTTATATAGGTATCTATATCAATCGTTACAATAGCAGAGAAGATGCTTTATGCACATAGACTTATATACATACGATGCAGGTTGGTGACGACCGTGGAATCAAAGAAAAGAGTTCAGCTCCCAAATATGGTTTTGTGGAGTTCGTATACAATGGCTGCCACAGGCAGTTCCTTTAAAACGTTATGGTGAGGAAGGGGGACCGGTAAAAGTGTAATGGAGAACTTTCTGGATTGTTCGCTCTCAAAAACGAGATACCAGGCAATACCGAAAGGTTCGCATTTAGGATGCTGCCCCAGTGACAGAGATTTAATTTAAGGTAGCAGTTCCAAATAAGATAGCTTGCTGCAATCATAAGAGAGCGGGTACGTGAAGACCAAACAATGATATGTCACGGATTCTTCGAGAAACGCTTGCAACGATTGCGAGTTGCACGCACTAAAACTAGGAGGGTCAGATATCCCTTATTCTGCTCAATCTACTTCCACTTTAAATGAAGGCCGGCAAAGTACCCACACAGTGGCAGACAGCCACTGTTGTATCATGTTACAAAACTGGACCCATACATGACGTGAGAAATTATCAGCCAATCAGCCACACCTCTATTATTTGAAGAATGATGGAGAGACTAATGGCCCCAAAAATGGTAGATTTCTTGCAAATAAGTGGCCTGCTTATTAACGCACAACTTGGATTTCTGAAGAAACATTCGTGTGTAACATGTCACCTTGTCTTTCTCAACAATGTTACTCTCGCCTTAGACTGTGGGAAATCATCAGTAGTGATCTTCCTAGGCATGCAGAAAGCATTTGATTGTGTACCTCACGATAAGCTTATAGACAAAGTCGCATATGTTGGAATCAGCGACCCATTGTTATCGTGGTTCAAACCGAACCCAGGTGATTAGAATAAATGATCAAAATTCACAGCCTGGACCAGTGATGAGCGTTATCGGCCCACTACTATTTATTATATGATAACGATATATTCGACGCAATACACTACGGTGTCACATATGTATTTGCTGATGACGTGAAAATCGTTTACACCTTTGATATTACTGACACGAACCACACCACGAACGCCATTATATCTGACTTAAAAGCCCTTGAGTTATGGTGTGCCAAATGGGGTAAGTCATTCACAACCAAGAAGTGCAGTGTTCTACTGTTACGTTGTACAATCGCACCTAGCACCGTGATTCGGTGTGGAAAACCAATAACGTGCAACTGCGCAGTAAATGACTTAGAACTTCACTATTCTGGTTCACTAAACGTTATGGAGCAAACGGCAAATGTAGTCGCTAAAGCTCGTCGAAGTATTGGACTACTAATCAAGACATTCAAAATGTACGATTCCACAGTCACCCTATACAAGATACAAACCCGACCGCTTTTAGACTATTGTGCATTGATCTACACAAGAAAAGGTGATCGCCAGCAAATGGAGAAATTGCAGAGACCATTCAGTAAACGTCTGCTGGGAATGTCCTCTCGAATCTCTTACACACAGCGCTGCAAGGCCTTAAAATTAGAACCGGTATGGCTCAAACGGATGAAACTTAATATATGTCTCATTCGATATCATACACAAGCGAGTTCATGCCCCAAGCCTGGATTTGAAATTTAAAGGTGGGCTAAACTATAGTATTCGAGACAGCCACAAATTGCTAAAAATAGAAAGGCCTAGAACTCAGATACGTAGGAACTTTTAGGTGAACGTTTACGCAAAAATATGGAAAAGACTGCCGTCTAAGCTGCGAGAATGTAAATCATCTGAAATCTTTCGTAAGGAGATTCGCACCTTGTTAACTGCTGGAAAGGCCACCAAGCTACGGAGACAAAAAAAACATGGCATATGAAAATGATCTAGCAGATATGTAAGATATGGTATCAATCGTCACCATCCAATTCTCCCGTATTCAACATTTGACATCCCGTAACTGTTGGCCTCAAGAAACTATTCTGGCCTGCGGCATAACAATACAGGAAAGTGAAATACTGAGCCCTGCAAAACAAAACATATAGATATAGCTAATAAATTTTGACGAATTTTTCGAGTCTGTGAATATCTTGACATTTATTTAGTTATGAACGAACCGTTTTCCGTATTTCTAACCAATTCCCTTTCCTGTCCGGAGGTATCAGCACAAATCTACAGAGTGCTTCATGACATCCGTCAATGCCAATTCCTACACACTTCGGCTGTCAGTGATGTATCGATATGGAATTTCTTGTCTTGTGACAACTTGAACAGAAACTGTGTTCAAGCATCTATTTATAAAACTTGACCAGATCAACTACAATCCGTATCTCACACCGTCAATAAACATTTATTTTTTGTTTACCTTGCTATTCTTTACATTCGTCTTGTAATAGTAAATATTTCTTCCACTTTTCCGAGAGCAACAGCCAAGAAGAAGGTAGCAATTCTCAGTGCTCCGCGATATCAAATACTGTATTTTGCGAACACAGGCTACTGTCGGATAAACCTGAAGATTCCTTTCAGAATTGCCTCGCATATCGATAATCCGAGCAGTTACTTTTTACGGCGATCCCGCCGCACAATTTGATCGGGGAAACCGTCAACCTTTCTTGACCGTATCGAATTACAACAATTTCTTATTTACTATCATTACCCTAATTTCCTTCTTACCTCCTCATATTCTGTATTCTTCTTTACTCCATTGTTGGCCTGGACTAGGTTGATCTCCTGAGGTGACGGACTGAAGCTTCCAAACTAATAGATGAACCCATGTGAGGCGAAATACTATGGACTCTCTGACGAGTAATAAAAGTACTTGATTCAAAAAAGCGGATTGAAGGTACGGGCTATATGGCCTAATTGTCCATACATATATATATATATATATATATATATATATATATATATATATATATATATATATATATGTATGGACAATTAGGCCATATAGCCCGTACCTTCAATCCGCTTTTTTGAATCAAGTACTTTTATTACTCGTCAGAGAGTCCATAGTATTTCGCCTCAGATGGGTTCATCTATTAGTTTGGAAGCTTCAGTCTGTCACCTCAGGAGATCGACCTAGTCCAGGCCAACAATGGAGTAAAGAAGAATACAGAATATATATATATATATATCTTAAAGATGAGTACAATTGGTGATGGCAAATTGCCACACAAGCACACGGTCAGAACAGACATGGAAGTGTGGGTGAAATCTTTGGAGGAACTAACCTGCATGGAAGCACGTACTCTAGAACCAAATCCACGACTGGCCGTACTACTTTACTACAACACTTAGATTTATCTGCATTTATTATTATTATTAACTACCCACACATCTATTTGAAAGATACAACCGACCAATCAGCCCCGCAAAATAGTTTGGAACTGCTCTAGAAAAAAAGAAATATTATCCATCCCATATGATCCCGTTGTACATAATGACCAGACCAATCAGTTAGACTGTAGCACCATCGAGGAAGATACGCTTTATTTATTCATTTATTCATGTCGCTAACAATAACGATCTGGCCCAGTGCGCTATTGACAAGAGGTAAGGCCAGTGCGCGTTCAAACTATAGCCATACTGCTATTGTCCGATTAATCTATGGTAGATGAAAGTTCGAACAGGGTTTGATTGTGAAATAAAAACAAGATGAACGACTTTCTTGGTATGAATCGAAAGAATGCAGATACTGAGTAAATAAACATCTTTTTGGTAACGCTCGTGAGACCCAAAGTTTACATGATGATGAGTACGTGTTAAATGTGTCGGATAAAGATGTGTATTGGTTAGAAAGTTTAATTCTAACGAAGGAATGCGCACTACTGATGAGTCCCAATAGGACGAAATGATCGTCTGGTGCATTTCCGGAGTGGTAGCTTACCTATGCGACTTGTAATCTAATTGCGATGAAACAAATAAAATCATACCCAAATCCGTCTCTCATCAGAACTGAAAACAAATCAATAAATGAATATGCGACCTTTCCCGCACGTATGGCATGCAATCGTTAATATGCAAAGTCTATGTCCGACGAGATTCATCGAAAGGAATTCTTTACACAGTATCTGCCTCCTTTAGATTCATTCTATTAAATGGGAAGTTTCTGATTGCAAGATAATCATTCCCTGTGATTAAATCAGACGTTCTTGGTGTCGAAAAACAGGCTATATAGCAAACTCAAGCCACACATAAAAGATGTAGAACTGACAACGGCCTCAGAACACAAGCACCAACGGATAGGGTGTGTGAAGCGTTCGATGCACATTAAACGATAACAGCGTGGACCGGCTCAGTGATCTTCTCGAGCTGGATGGAAACCGTAACATCGAAGAACCATGATACGTGAAAATCCATAGTTGAAATGCCCATGAAAGAATCCCCATGTGTACAATGTTTGGAAAGAAAATTCTCCAACGTAATTAATCAACAAGCACACATTATGTGGGAGGCGTCGCTGTAGCTGGGTCGGACCCAGATGCTGACCAAATTTCGATAAGCAGACCGTTGAAGAAAGTGGTACACTCTCGGACAGTTCCGTGACAGAACACATCGAAAAGATCAAACTGATAACGATGAAACGTGCAGCAAAGGGAATTACCTTAAACCCAACCCGTCCTCTTTGTTCACTTGAGAAACAATGCGGCGAATGTCGGTAAAGTCCGGGAATCGATGCTTGACGTTTACCAGCTCCTCAATTCGTTTGTTGATGTTCGCATGCTTAGAGCCTTTGAAATATCCAAGGACAGAAGGAATAAGAGATTAAAGAGATAACAGTATGAGGTAACAAGCAAATCACAACTCAGTCCATAGGTGAGCGAGCAACCGGCTAGAGGTATTGAAATGAGCTTCTAGGATTAAGTAAAACTGCGATCAATAAATACCTGGTATGCACAGTTGATCGGGTGCATCGGTGATTATGGTCATTATCAGAAAAACACTTGGAATAAACAATCGAGACAATGACGCCTGCGCAAACAGGCTTAGAAGTTTACTTATGAGTAGAAGGATTTTGGTGAGTATTTTTGTTCGTCGGATAGGCTTAGAATGGATTAATTTCAGTGTGATGAAAGATGGTGTCATCCTGTTCGTTCTGTGTGAGGCAAACAACAACACTCGATAACATGGTTACGTATGATTAGTTGCATGCATTATATGAGCGAGAAAGTAACTGCTAAAAATGTTTGAATAAGGCATAAAATGAGTACCCATTGATGGGAGTATGCTCTTTTTACGTAGTACGTGAAACACCGGTAAAACCAGCGTATAATTACCGTTCCAGCAAAAACCACGAATTATTTGCAGAAAAGACGCTAGATGTATGGACGTTCAACCTCAAAATCATCATCCTCAACAGCAGCACCATATTACAATGAAGTAAGGAACGGAGGAAGATAAGAGGGAGAGAAGGGGCGAAGAGAGCAAAATTGTCAATATCTAGTAAATATTCACGGTCAAGGAGACGACATCTTGTCAACAACACGCTCACAAACAGCTGGCTATTGAAAACAGATATAAGGCGGCGTAGGTGATACAGTGTTTGATAGGCATTCAGAAGAGCTGGCTTTGTCAGTTGGCTGGTGTCAATGCGCTCACCGCGTCATCGTGGGCGTGCGCCAAATCGCATCCGCATGTCAGCACATACAAGTGCATGATCGGTGTCCACATATGTGCACCAAATCGAACGACAGTTCTGGATGCAGCCTCTCCAGCGGTAACTGATTGCAATGTGATCAATTTGCGTCCAAGACTGGTTCGAGGTTGGTGGGCGCCAAGTCACCCTCAGGCGAGTGCTGTGTCGGAAGTTAGTGCTCGCAAAAAATAAGCGGACATCTTCAAACAAATGAATTAACCGCTCACAGTTATCATTACGGGAGCCTACACCGTGTTGACCGCCCAGATGCATTTCATCAGTGGACAACGTTCTAACTTGTGCGTTCAGATCCCCAGCCAGCAAAACAGTGCCCGTGCTTCTGTGGCGAAGGAGCAGGGTAAGTTGGCGGTAGAAGTCATTTTTTACCTAATCATCGCTACAGTTTGTGGGCGCGTAGGCAGCGAAAATGAATAGATACCTAGTAGTTCCGCGCGACTTCGAGGCTTTGAACGAGCTAGCCAATCGGACCACACACATCCGGCTACTGATTGGAATCCAATCAACCAGAGCAGCTTCAGCCCGGGGATTCAGGGCAATGCCAACACCAGCTTGACCGGTGCTCGAAGCTGCATCGACACCGAATAGGCGCAATGAGAAAATACTGTTCGTGTCACCTGAAGGGGATCGCAGAGTGAGCACAGAGCTCGAGTCTTGCAGGCGGGTCTCCGCTAAGCAGCAGAAATCCGTCTAGAGGGTCTCTCAAGTTCGGGCAAGTGCTGCCTGTTGACCGATCTGTAGCAATGTGCGTACATTGAGGCATGTCCATCTGAAGGAGGATCGAGGGCTCCAAATGGAAGCCGATGAACTGGAATGGACCGCTTGGTTAGACATGGGCTTGTCGACAGGACAGGAGTGACGCTCCGCGTTAGCATGTGAGTTGAAATTAGAAGATAAACACCTAGCAAAGCATGTTGGGGGAGGGCCAAGAATCGGGGGTTGAAAACTGGGGGGATAAAAGTGAAGTTGGAACGGGACAATAAGGGAGAAAAAGCGTAAGAGGGGGAATAAGAAGACGGGAAGGCTTGAGCAGTAGCATCCAAACCCCTATCCACCCTGCTCGATGCAGCAGATAGGGCACCGTTGATTATCCTCTGCGGTGGCCAGAGCATCAAGAAATTGTTTGAGGAAAGATTCATTGCATTGCGTGGGCAGGATACTGTCAGGTTGCCTAGGCCTAGACAGGAGAACGATTAGGGTTCTCAACCAAAGCCTTTGGTTCAAAAACCTGACCGCAAGGCAGCGGGTTTGGCATTGGGCTACAAGGAGTCCGTTTTAAAGAATAAGGTGCCACACTCATTCCAACCACCAACCTGGAGGACCAAGAGGCTGAGTTTGTCTGGCCTCTGACCATTGACCCACCTGATATGAGTGACTCTGAAGGTGCAAAAGCACCACCCAGCATAGCTCAGTGGATCACTGAGGCACACAAACCATCGCACCACGGTAAGGTCCAGCCTCGTCGCGATGGTCCAGTGATTTGTGCTGACGACTGATAGAGCAGCAAACAGATGCTCAAGCGTCATGTATGGCGACCGAGATCTTATTCCACGGAAGCTCAATGTCATTATGGCGAGAAAAGGAAAGTTCGGTGCGCAAAGCAACCTGGCAGGCTTGCGCAACCGAAAGGAGGGATAACTCCTCGGTTGTCAATTGCAGGGGACGCTTGGTGCAACTTCCAGCAAAGTCAAAGGAAGGTGACACCGTACTAAAACATGACTAGAGTTGACGCACGTGTTATAGAAGGAGCGATAATCCAGAATGGAACCACGACACCTGAAACTTATGGCAATGTGATTTTTTCGGGTCCAAGAATGGTCAGCTGTGGGGGGATGCCACGTCGCGCTTCCTAACCTACTGAGCCTGAAAGCGATGCTGCTAAAAAAACAGCCGATGCTAGGCACACAGTTGTAACAGACGCTCGCCGTTGTACGCCCATTCGGCGTTACGCCCAGCTTCTGAAGAGTCCAGATGATCTGCTTACACATTCATATTCCCCGCAACGATAACAATATCTGAACTGGTGACACTGCGAGTCCCAACCAGACAGTGTCGAGTGCTACTTCGTGAAGCAGTATTGGTTGTTGTCAAGCTGGGTGCACACAAACCGCTGCTCACGGGAATCGAACCAACTAACAATGACTCAACTGTGAGACTGACAACGATGTCTACCCCCGTTTGATCAGTGGTTGCCGCATTAGCGTCAATGGATGCGTGCAACCAATGGCGAGAGGACAAGCCGGATGTAGTTAGTTCAACAACCCCATGAGTCACTGTCCCTAGTTTCAGACACGCAACATGTCAATACGTAGGGTGTCCAACGTGCAAGCGAGTGGAAACTGTTGATCTATTAAATTGCGAACGTTGAACGCCGCAAGGGAGAGGTGACAGCTTGGCTTTATAAGAGGCTGCTATCTCGTAGATTGTGCAATCAATAACGTCCTAGTTGGACAAATTGTGCAGACCCGTATAGCTTCTTTTCTTGACTATTCAAATGCCTTCGGGAGTCTTGACCGATCTGTGCTGCTAAACCTAATTCACTGGAACGGAGTCCACCCTGATGATTGCAAATCGCTGCGTGACTGTCACTGATCGTATGCACTTTACTCAGTTAAACGGTAAAAGCTCCCCTATGCTCCGCGTTGACTGTGACGTTTTGCACGATGCGACCACTCACCAGTCTTATTCTCTTCATACGTTGTGTCTCCGAAGCATCCACATTCACTGGATGTAACTATGCTGACGATGGTGTCCTGTGGTGTAGGGCTCCCGCCGCCGAGATATTTATGCTTTGATTTGGTTTAGAGGAAGTTGTGAGTCGGTCATCACCTAGTGCTCTTAATCTAAGTGCTTTGAAAAGTACTAATGCAACATTTTCATTTCCCAGCCCTGACAAGTTTCGACTAACGGTAGATTCATCACCTCTATTAATCTCGAAGGACAAAACGATGCCTATTTCATTTACTGTCAAATATCTCACTATCCATTTGTCCGAAAACCTTTCTTGGTCCATGCACAATTTGGAAGCATTTCGCAAGGTCAGCTGGTTATCTTATTATGCCTTCCGACTTAAGAAACTCTCCGTGCCATTAAGTTTAATTTTGAGATTTGTAACTTCATATATAATACTACCCCGCTGGTTGTAATGTTCCCTGGTTATCATCCCTGAACTACTGCAAAAGTAATTTGTTTTGACGTGAGATTGATTAAAGATATTTCCAGATGTGGTGGCTTGCCTACAAATTCCATAGTTGATTTTATTATTCGCCAGAATTCTGACGCTTGCATGAATTTTCGTTCTAAGGTCCTACGTGACCGCTTTCATTCGCTACAAAATGCTCACCCACAGATGACATCTGTCTCTTACACGTGCTCAAGATTATATTCTCTCGCACTTCGTATCATATCCAAATTTTAAACTATTTGTCACATTATCTCGTCGATCCAAAAAATAGCATAAATGCCTTGCGGCTCCTTGGATGACATCTACACACCTTCATTCATTTAATTCTTCAATTTGTATTCATATGTCTGTCACTGGTCCCATCATTCAGTGTATTCGCAGTGAATGTGTAAATACTGAGAAGGCACCCTTTCGGGTGTATAAAGCCTATTTTGACTTGAGTTGAGTACAGTGGATGATGCGGGGACATAATTGCAGGTGGTAGGATTCCAGCGGGATTAAAATTACTAATGAGTAGGAAGATTTTGTAATTGTAATGTTTTTGTTCCAGCTGCTCACAAGCTACATAGCACAACATAGTCCGGAAAAGCACCAGACACGTTTCGCCCTATTGGGGCTCGTCAGTGGTGCGCATTCCCTCGGTCCCCTACTGGGGATCGAACCCATGACCGCTAGAGGCAGATGCCAACTAGCCAGAAGATTAAGCCACTGAGCCATGGGGGACGTCGGTTGGGCAACACAATTTGTAAGCTAACTGGGATATAGCATGACCAATCTTCTACTGCCACGCAGGTGACGGTGGTTAGCCTCCGATTAAAATTGTTGTCAATTAGGCCGGCAGTTACAGGTTGGTACTTGGTGGTCGGGAGAGGAGTAAAAAAACAGGTGGAAAT